TATTAGATTTATTGCCGGCTTACACGCAGGCAATTTTAGTAAATCTTGTTTAAAATTCGGTTTGACATTGTTAAATTTGGTTGGAGTGTTGACAAAGCTGTGTAAATTTTTCTAGATACTCCCTTATACATTCTACAGATATTTGTTTAATATATTTGAATTATTACTAGTAGCACGAGTAGAAGACCTAATTAGCATTTAAATAGATCAAATATTTTTCAGTTAGAGGCAAATTAAATATAATGAAATCCTATGTAAATTCAGAGTGTTTTGACTCATTTCTTTGTCGTTTATTTTCTGAATTGATGATTTGAAACAGAAATATTATGTATAAAAGTTACAGCTATAAAAATATATTGTCTGTCCCTGAACATATAATTTTTGAAAAATCTATATAATATCTGATGGCAGCTTCATCTGAATCGCGTAATGAAAGAATTATGTAACAATTCGCATCTTCCGTTAAAATGTTATATGTGTTTTCAAACATTGAGCAGGAAAGCACGACAAGACACCAATAATAACACTCAATTATGGCAAAATTGACTTAAATTATATAAAATTTTTACTTTGCGTTGTACACGTAGACAATTATACAACGCGCAATACTTTCAACTTCACCTGGCTGGTTGAATGATATATTATTACACTGTAAAAGTGGACGTCATAAATAATAAACTAACTGAAATATGTGAAAGGTGAATAGAGTAACAGGTGAAAAGGAAGTTAACATATAATAAGCTAATATAAGAATACTTTGCTCAAAGTCTAGAATAGAAAGCCATAGAATGCACGTTTCTGAAAAAAATATTTACTTCAGTAGGATTTGTATGCATTTTTAAGCACCTGCTGACTTTATTTACAATTCTCTAGTGTTCTATTTAAGTCTATGTGGATTTTAAATGTGTTTAGTTTTATTCCAAACCAAAATTAATTCCTGGGTTTCAGGCATTTATTGTCTTTTTGTATCAATTAAAATACGTTTCGGTGTATTTTTGTATTTTGCATTTCACCATCATCAGTTTTTCTAAAATAACATAGTTAAAAAAAAATTCATTAATATAAAAAACAATCACAGTTCGTCAACAGCCTCATCATATCACACATTAAAATACATCACAATTGCAACACTTTAAAACATCCTGAAATTAATTAGACCTAACAGGTGATTAATCAGGACAATCAAATTTGGGAAGAGACTAGAATTCTTTGTTCAGATACTTAAATATTTTTACTTACACGTGTAGGTCATTTTTCCTTTGAAACTAAAATGAGTAAATAACATAAAACATATTTTCTGCCCGTCCCCAAATTTTTGTAATCTTTAATTCAAGATTTTTATTCTTAAAAATTAAATAAATGATTCATCTAATTAAAATTGAAAGTAAATTAATTTACTAAATAATTTAAGTAAATCTATTAACTAACCATTAATCATAACTTTAAAAAAGTTTAAATTTAATTTTCCCGACTAAAATCCCGACTTAACTATCGAAAACTTTTAGAAGTAGTTAAAAATTTCGATTTAGCTATCAAGCAAAGCTTCAGGACCTTCAAAATTGAACTCAGAACTAAAATGTTAAGGAATAAAATGTCAGCGACGCCTACAAAAAAAATTGGCAAAAAGTGAAAAATAACACCCTAAACCAATGCACTCCCTAATCAGCTACCTATAATTTCAGCATTAGATTTTTTAAATATTTTTACTACACATCTCGTAAACAAAGGGTTTGGCGACTTATGTAAACATACATTTTTTTTCTTATTTTGACTCGTACAATATCATTTGGAACTATGCAACCTAATTTTCCATCGTACTGAATGACAAAATTGGAAAATAAATACGTATAAAAACGTTAGAAACCTTCTTAAAATATAAATTTTACTGCTGAATTACAAGTTTCCTCATACATTAGAAATCAAACATTCAGATGATTTTTCAGCATCTACAAATAAATCACCATTAATGCTAAATGTTTGATATCAACCTAGAGGCACTATTTTCCAAAATATTCAAATTTTTTCCTCCCAAATTGTAGATTACATAGCAAGCAGTAGCAGATAACAGTCTACCAACAATCCGATTCTTCGAACGACCAGCTATTGGAAAAAAAGGATTACAAGACCTTCCATTAAACCCGAAATAGGCAATAAAAATAAGGCTTATCCTTGGAATATTCGTTTTATATTTCCGTCGAGCCTTTGGAACGAATAACAGAGAGTTATTGGCGCTCAAAACGCGCAAAAAATGGATCAACGCCATCGTTATCAGCACAATGTTTTCTAAGTTGGTTGTAAGCTTTTTATAATTTGTTGAGTTTGATTTCGACTAATGTAAACCCAGTGCTCGAGACCACTAAATCAACATCAGCGAATTTCATTCGCTATTGGTTTTAGGTCGAAGCAAATTCATTTTTCCTGTATCCAAACAATGTATAACATCTTTGCCTTTAGGCGACTAGGTAACCGTTTTCATGGCTTCAATTTGTTAGCTTGCTATATTATCTATCTCAATTTCCTCTATTTTCTGAACAAAGTTTAACTGGCCGCTCAGAAACACGGATAGGATTTTGAAGCGTACTGTTTGCGTTTTCAGGAAATGATAAGCATTAGAAATCTAGACCGTTGGAGGCAGAGTGGACGAATAGCTTCCGGGTGTATAACTTTAACATTGTATTACGATAAATTCGCATCCTAATAATATTCGGAAATCTGAATCTGCAGCAAACATTTCCCTTTTAGTTTATTATCGAAGATTCTATCGGGAACCCTTCTGATATTTATACTAGACTGTTCAAATTGGGTGTTGATTCTTTAAGGAAGTATGTGAGCCTGTTCGGAGAGAATAAAAAAATTAAATTAAATTCGGGTTTAGTTCTCGAAGACATTAGCTCCAGAAGATGCACTTTCAACTTTGCTACTAAGTTAAATTTTTAGTCATTCTAAACACACTATCTACTCAGGAACAACAATTAATGTGGTGCTGATTTTGATTATAGCATCGCTAAAACCAGACATGGAAAACGACTTTTGTAACCAATTTTTTTGCAACTGCATTAACGACTTTATGCTTCTGTTAATTGATCCCATTTTCTGTATTTGCGTTTTAACGTCATCTTTTGTTTTATTGATTTTCGAATAAAGCAACAAATATTTACCTACGGTTTAAACGTGGTTTGGATTATGTGTTTTGAGAATATCTCTTTTTTGGGGGAATTTTTGGGGCGCTTAAAAGAATACTGAAAAACCGGACTATGAACAATTAATTAAGATCGCAAAGGGGCGATATGGTAAATTTAGTTGCAAGAGGAAGACGCTTGCATTGAAAGCGGAAAGTTGTAAAACATCCGTATTAAAAGCAGTCACAAAATTCAGATTGTACAGTCTTCTTAAAGCATTAATATTTTAGTTAAATTAATTAACAATCCAATTCTGCAAGATTTACAATACATGTGTCTAAAATTTCCAATAGCTTTAAAAACTGAAAAAACTACAACTTATTTTGAAAAAAAGGTTGAAAATATAATTAGTGTAACACAGTGGCTGATTAACATTCGACGGATTGAAGCGTTTTTCAGTTTTTTACAAGTGATGACTTAATATTCCTGACTTATTTTGTGTTCTGACAAAGTTTTTTTCCTTGCTGCGGATCTGAAGCTATTTTCTTTGTAGTTGTCTTTTATATTCCATAATGTCGCATGCGTACAATTTGAAATCACGATATTTCCCTTTACTATTATACTTATTATGTATAAATTTGTAGCAGTTTGTAGGTGAAATATAATCGGATCAATAGCAATATTTTGTTTGTCATTAACTTTAGAACGCTGTTTCTGTATCTTCGAACCTAATTTTTGTGTCTTAAAAGAATAAGATACTTTATATATATTTTGAAAAAATTGACTCCTAAAACACACAGTTTCACGTGAAAATGACTCACTTTTAATACCGCCATTAAAAAGTCCAAAGTGTTGAAAATAACTGAAAAAGAATCGAAATCGTTTTCAAAGTTTTGTTCCTTAGGCCCGAAGTAAATAAAATTTACTTGCTTGATGTTGCTATATTTTTATTGTGATTAGTAATTTTATAATGAGTCGCGGTTACATCGAGCTACACGAAAAATTGATGAATATATTTATATAATTGTTTGTCGCTTCCAGCATTAGAAACTCTTTTCTACAAAATAGAGTTTGCTTGCTTATTGAACTATAAACGCTTATTGAGTAAATAGAATGTATGTTCAACATAATTTATTACTTCCATATTAATGTCGAAGAAAAACTGCTCTAGTAACATGAATTAATCCATTAAAAAACAAAAAATGATCATAACGGGAAGGATCCCAAATAATGGAACATTTAGCATCAACATTTTGACAAATAAAAAGTAATCCAAAAATCATGTAACTCGTAATTAAAACGACCTAATTGCCAAAGTTTTGAATGCCCCTAAAAAAAATTAAAAACAGATTATGGACAATTAGTTAATGGGCAATATAGTTTGGTTTCAACTTTCAGAAGCAAGCCCTTTAGCAATACAAGCAGAAAGTTGTAAAACAGTAGTGTTACATAAACTAATTAGAACATAACAAAATTTATAGTTCTTTGCAACCTTAACCATTCACGGTTTGGGTTTAATTGATTAGCAAACCAACTGAGAAAGATCTATAATGCATCTGTCTCCATTCCTATAGACCACTGTACAATAGCTTAGAAAATGTATTTTTTTATTTAAAACAATAATTACTATGACACAGTGATTGATTCACATTAGGCGAATGTGAACATTGAAAAATATAATTAATATTGATTGCTGATTTATTTTGCGTTCACTTTTTTTGTTTGCTGTTGATCCAAAACTGTTTCCTTTGTGATTATATCCACAGGGTTGCATGCGCAGTTTTAAATAACTACATTTCGTATTATTATTATACTATTATTATGTATACATTTGTAAGTAAACTGTAAGCGGATCAATAGGCACAAATATGAAAAAACTTCAATGTGTTGAATCAACTTTATTGAAAAGAAGCACAACTAGTTCATAAAGTTGAAACTAAACGATATAAATGCAAAACCACGTGTTGCGTTTGTTTATCAATCAAAAACTCTTAGCTTTCCGGGCACGTACGAGATATAAGCCACCCCCTGGTGTATTCTGACCTCGCCTGTTCCATGACGATAGTAGAATAGCATCGTTCCGCTTTAAGAGAAAATAAATGAGCATAGATTTGTTATAGTTGAACGAAGACTAAAACTAGGATGCATTTGATCTGTTACATTACAGTGGGCGTTTAGATTTTATCGATAAAACTGCAACCTTTGGTAATGCACTGAATAATACCAGTTTTTTCTATAAACTTTATAGGAACCGGTTCCAGAATATCGACGTAGCAAAACAGATTGTACCAAACAATGCAACTCGTTTTAAGAGTTCACTGCACTTTCAATAATGCAAAAAGAGTGTTCATAATATATTAACCACAAAACAATGTATTTATTTTTAATGCTTTATGTGCTACTGTACATACTAAATCGAAGTGTGGGCGGAATGCATTATTTAAATCAGATTTTATTATTAATAAATACGTTTTTCGTATTCAGCAAAATTAATTAAATTTCTGTTTTTATTTTATATTAACCGCAAAAAACCAGTTGTGCGCAAAATATTTATTGTCGTGAATATTTTCAACACATTCTTCATATTTTCTTCTAACCTAAAACACTATTCAAGGAACGAGAAAGGTGTAGACCGAAACAGAACACGCAAATGATTATTCATTAAAGCCTTTCCCGACTAATGAAAGAATAATAGCCAGAGTCGTAATTTCAAGTGTTACTTCAATTTTCCTTGTCATAATAATTACATTAGACATTTCACCTTCAAGTTGCAAGAGATACCTTTAGCACTTATTGGATACTATTTTAAGAGGATAAATAGATAGTCTAATAGCATTACTGATTATTAAAGTTATTTTGTAAATATCGGTTAATAATATTAGGGATAACTTTAATTTTCTAGACCAAATAAAGTAGATTATTTTACATTTAACTCAAAATTAATTCCTGGGTTTCAGTCATTTATTGTCTTTATTTATCAATTAAAATACGTTTCGGTGTATTTTTCCACCATCATCAGTTTTTACGT